ATCTTGACCCTCAAATAATAGAGCAGGGCACATTTGTGTAAAATTCAAGTATTCAACTTAATGGGTTAACTGGACACATTAATTGGTAGACAATCTGATTTTAACATCATTAACCCAATGAGTGCCAGCACTCTCCCCTTGACGAGTGAAATTGTCTGGTGTTAGACAGAGTAAAATAATCTGGCATTAACTCTGGAATTAAATTATCTATCTAATTTATTATAATAATACACGATTAATTGTTATATTAACTATATTCTAATATTTGTCCTTTATAGGTATTCAGCCACTATGCAATTCCCTGTATTATCAATATGGTGGCTACGACAAGTGCAATGAACAGTGTGCACAAGCAGTGGAAAAAGGATTTGTGGCTATTGAACAAATCCTGGAAAAAACTGCAGGAAAATTTTGTATCGACAATGACATTACTATAGCAGATGTGTGTCTAGCGCCACAGGTGTATCGTGGGGTAGGGTTTGGGGTGGATCTTGCTTCATTTCCAAAGATTGATGAAATATGGAAAAGATTATGCGATGTTGAGGCTGTACGCAGTACCCATCCTGATAACGAACCTGACTATGAATCATAAATCGGAACTGTTAAATGAGGTTTTTCTAAATTTTAAATCTGTGAAGTTTTAGAAGTTCATTTTAAATATAATTTACTTAATCATGTTTCATGACTGCATTAATATTTATTAGGCCCAAGGAATAACAATGGAAAACGGGAAATTGAACTCTTACCATGATTAGTTATTATAGATTACCGATAAGGTGAATTGGTAAAATATCCATGATGTTTAACCCATTGAGTGGCAGCACTCTCCACTTGACGAGTAAAATCGTCTGGCGTTAGATACAGTAAAATACTAAAGTAGGGCGCATCCGGGTGCATTGCCACTTAAAGAGTTAATATTTACCATGATGGTAATTTTAAAAATAAACATTATCTAAGCCAAGAAAATCAAAGCTGAAGTTTATGTAAATCAGGACAAATCTTTATCCGATTTACAAACATTGATTAATTACATTCATTTGTTTTGTATTTTCTCGTGAATTATTAATGAATTTTTTAATAACCAATAATGATAAGTGTTAAGTTTTACATTCAAAAATCCATTAATGGTAACTTAATTTTTTTCCTGTGTAAATTTCCAGGCATATAGAGGCGATGGAAATAGTATCAATGCCAAGTAATGCTTACTGTTTACTGATTAAGTGGCGGTATTCTCTCTTTGATGAGTAAAATTGTCTGGCATTAGACAAAGTAGAATAATCTGGTGTTAGAGTAAAAAAATAAAGTTGGGTACATTGCCATGCACTTGAAGTGTTGGGAGGATGCATCATGCATTGGGAATTGAGTGGCAGCGCACTCTCCCCTTGACAAGTAATACCGTGTATATTGGACCGAGTAAAATAATCTGGCATTAGACATAATAAAATATAACACAAAATAGCATGATTATTATTAGCACTATGTCTATTATTAGCACTGATGAAGATATTATTAGCACTGATGAAGATCCGGAAGATACAAAAATATTAATATGTTTATCGCCATGCAAACCTACAAAGAACGTATTAAAATAGCACGAATTCTCATTCAATTTGACACACACTTTGTGTGTATGGTCAGACGTTTGGCTATCTTTGCCATGGGCTCTGATGCGCCCTGCCTTGCTCGTCAAAGAAACTCCAGATTAACAAAATAAAGGTTTGATAAGTGTTCCAACTATGGTTTAACTTAAATAGAATACATGATAGTGTTGGAAAAGCATTAAGAACAGCTAACGAACGTCGCGTCAGCTAACCAACTCTCATCAACACTCTCGTATCCTGGCTTAAAGTGCGTCGCGGGCACATGTTTCAAATGCGTTTATCTCCTAGCAACGGTAAACAAGTCTTTCCACATTAACATCGATAATTACCATTGAGACAATTGCCACCAGTCGAAAAAGCACATTTCTGCAGCGTGCTGAAGCGATGACGAACATCGGATGACATTAAATGTTTTAATCGCCATGACAAGTAAACAATTTAGCGCATAAGACAAATCATGCATGAAATCCCAAAATGTACAAGATAGTCTAGTTGCGCGCGTCTTAATTAAGGCTTATCACAATTTTTACGTCGATATATCAACTATTAAATGCTAAAGCGCATTTCGAATTGGCAACCACCAATGAGCTCAAAAATTTATCAAACCTGCCATTTTATCATTTATCTATGATGAATTATGATCTTTTTTATTGCAATTTTAAATTATGATATCATGGATAAACTCCGTCGAGCTCAATGCACTGAAATTCGCATCATGGTTCAAAGAGGCACCTGTTAATTTATGTGTATTATGTAATATGCGCCCACATTGTGCATAGCTTTACGACCTCTGGTCGGAAACAACCCGCGTAAACAATATAATCTTCCTAAAGGCTTTTTTCTTTGGGAGTTCTAAAAGGCGCCCAAAAAGAATGACATCTCCCCATATATAATTTTCCCGACTATTATATAAAACGATTTGTGTGTTTTAAAAATTAACCAAGATTGCGTCCAAAAAACTAATATACGTGCCAGTATTTGTGACATCATTAAACGGCCACCAGCTAAATGCAGCGTGCTTTCGGGCGCCCCATGCTAATTTGCGCGCGATGACTTCATAAATATGCGCGCACTACAAGAGTATATAACCCCATGTTCAGTTCGGCAAATAGTTGCAAAGCGGATATCAGGGCTATACTGGGTGAAAGCATTACTTGATCAACGAATCATAATATTTTATCGAAGACGACTTGAACGACTATAACCGTCAGTGTTTCACTATTCGATTAGTCACAAAAGACAGAGAACTTTCGAAGCATTTTCTCAAAAGGAATTCGATTTCACTTACGAAATACATTAAAGGAAAACAATTAACTAGGGAAGACACGGATATATTGGCTATTCGTAAAATATAGAAAAGAAAATCCAAAGTCAGACACTTCCTATATCTATTAAAGGAAAGGTTCTGCTATTTGACTTAGGGAAAAGTATAAAAAGATAAATTAAGAAGAAGGAAAAGCAAGAAGAATATAACTTGACGTAAGCACAAGTCAACTGAAACGAGTCAACCGTTGTAGACACTCAAGAAAACAAGACCTGTTCTCAATAAAAGTACTTTGAAATTGCCAAGTAAGAGCTAGTAAGACAACAGCTGATTCCTACAAGGCGAAGATTATTTCTATATAAACGTTCAATGAATTCAAAGAAGCACGAATTACAAAGACTTGCCAAGATGCTGGCTAAAATCGGGGACAGTTTGGTGGAAAGACATGCCATTGCCGTGGGCAAGCTGAAAGCAGCGAAACCAAGGAAAAGAAGTGCCAGAAAGAGTATTGCCGACGAATTACGGGAAATGAGCAAAAAGTTGGCCAGTCTCGGTGATGGCCTTCATGAGCAGAACGAGAAGACGAAAGGTGTGAAAGCATTACTTCAACCCACGAAACAAATGCTTAGAAATATTGTAGTCCGTGTCGTGAGAAAACTTTTGGTAAAACCTGAAACGGCATAGTAGGACTTGAGCCTGGTTTTCATATATCGTATTTCATTGGCGATGCTCACAACTTGTCAACAAGATGTGTTCGCAACAGGCTTGTATAGTGAACCCGTCAACAAGTCGTAACAATGCTGTTATTTTATCAAGTTGCTACAAGGTTGTCACTCACGACTTGTTAACAAATTGTTGAATTGCAGGACGATAACAAGTTGTTGGAACAACTTTTAATAAGTCTGCTGAGCTCAACAACCTTGCACCAAGTTGTCAACAAGCTAGGAACAAGCAGTGCGAACACATCCTGTTGACAAGTTGTTGGAACAGCATTGCTACAAGTCTGCTGCAGGTTTGTTACAACTTGTGCGTTTTTACGCGTGTAGCTCCATTGTCAATGGCCATTGCTCTATAAAATTATTTGTTTAAATCGAGCACTGTACCGGGTAAGCTTTCTGTACTTTATAGGAACGATAGTCGGTATTTTCAGAGGAATTATTGCAATGGAGAGATGTTTCGCTCAGCTCCTGCAAGTTGTACATTCCGTATAGGATAGGCATAGATAATTAAATGTACAGTACATGTGAATGTATATAAATGATAGATAATTAAAATCTCGATTAAAATGCAATGATGCTTGAAACCAGAGCAAACCTAGGAACGATTATTTTATAAATGTCACATGCTATGCAGATGATTCAATTATATAAATTCGGCTGTAAATAAGTTCTTCAGGTTATATAAACAATAAAATTTATTAAATGTCTCAATATATTTCTTGGTAATTAATCATTTACAACATATATATTGAGTGTCTCTACAGTTACCACCAGCATATATCTTACTACAAGCATAAGGCCTGAAACTAGCAATTAAATTGCACATAGGGAGAACCACATTTTTTCATAAAGCGGGAGAGAAATAAAGACGAGTGGTATACGGTATTTCCATCAGATTATTTCCAATCGTTTTATTTTATTCTTCGTCAGTGAGCTTCGTATGGAATCTGGAGTGAGAACTCACGTCAAAAAGTGCCAAAAATGGCGGAAATTGACGTCTAGTGCCAGTCATTTTTGTTTTTGTTTGCGCGGTTCAACACGAACTCAAAGGAGTGTGCCGACATTTCACGTTTTGACTTCGAAAAATACTACTTACAGTAAAAGTTTTATGAACTGATAAGTGTGTTAGTGATATGATTCATTAGGAAACAATAGAATTAGGTGGGAAAATTGGTATGAAAATTATGAAATTGGTATGAAAAATACGTTTCACTTTTCTCATAGGCATGAAGTTCTCACTCCAATTATATATAGGGCTCACTGTTCTTTGTCACTACGTGTCATCACTCATCCGACGCCACCTTGGTTAATCGTGTGAAATTTTAGCCGTTAGAGTGCTTGAATAGATTCACTATTTTCTGGCAAGACAGCTTATACTCATGTATATCTTACAGATTGCGGAAACCACTTACTATTTTTATCAAGTTAAAATTAGCTAAATATAATTTTACCAATCATTAGGACCTGACCACAAATCTACCCCAAAATCAACCAAGATGGCGTCGAGTGCAAACGACCAATATTTAAATCTGGTCTGTATCATTCATATACAAAAACACGAGCAGATGTATTCGCAATCACAGACGGTTTTTTGAAACTGGTTTCCATCACTGTTTGCCGGGAAAAGTTGAAACGTTATCATGCACCTCGTAATATTATTAATAATTTTTATACAAAAAATGGACTCGTCATCCCTGCACGATCAAACAGGCCACACGGTTGATCAAAGATTACCAAAAATCACTGTTCCTGAAAAACGATGAGCAATTTCCTCAAAATCAAATATCTACTGTTCAAGTTGTTCTTATTGTATTCCTTATTGTCCCATATTAAATTCGGATTTCATATGAAATTACAAATGGACATCATACATACATATACAAAACTTTATTTAAACCACGCTTTCCATCATCTTTGCCCAAAACAGATGATAGAATTGAATAAGAATGAGGAAACACTGGTGGACAATTTCTTCAAAATTAGGATCTTGTGCAAACGGTTGTTCAGCATGGGCAGCATGGCGCTGTTCGTTCAAATTGTCGCCTATGTTTCTTAAGTTGCCGCCGACCTCTCTCAATCGACGATTATTCTCTTGGTTAAAAACTTCGCTTTCCCCGTCACGTTTCTCATTAGATCGAGACATGGTATAGATGTACTCTTCTTTGTAAAACTTCTTAGTTCATTCAACCTGAAAAAGGCAAATAATTAGCAAAGACGTTTATACTTACAAGCCCTCGCCTTGTTTGGTACTCGTGTTATCGCTGTTAAATGCAAGAACCTTATAGATTTAGTGTAAAGAGCAAACATTATTTGTTGTATCATTCATATACGAGGAAGTGTATTTGCTATAGAAATATGTCACACGTTATGCAGACTTGAAAGACTACTTTAAGAATCAGATTAAATAAATTGATTAAATGGGGGCCTCGGATTAATAGGGATACAACTACCTGAAAAATACAAGGAGAACTTCAACGAGCGAAGACCCTTCGCAGTTAGGGACAGAGTTCACTAACTCCCCGACGAAGTGCCTTCGCGCGAAACGTCGAAGTTCTAGTATTTTTCATGTAGTGACATTCATATCATTCCGAAGCCCCTTCATTACTGTACATACCTTTCAAGATTATACTTCAAGAATCCCGCTTCAGTATACAGGAAAATTTACAAGACAACCAATAACTCTTCTTATGAATTCCTTTCCTATTCCATAGACCTCCAAGTTTCTCAACAAGTTCTCACGAATGACTATTTAAGCCTGATTTTAGCGTGCTGAACTTGCCTCGTTGACAGTTTCCAATACACTGAGCTAGGGCCTTATAAGCTGATGTATATAACTCTGTAACTTTTAGAAAAAGAAGTAGGGTGTGCTATATCATCCGGCAATTCGAACCGGACTTACAAGAGCGCAGCAGGTATAGTAAGGGTGTTCTCTGAATGTTCTATATATATTTTGAATATTTATACGGAATGTTTAACTGTTATAATATTTAATAACGAAATAATTCAAAACTCGCAGAGTTATTTAATAAAATACATTTCGCTGCAATAAGAAAAACATTGAAAATGTAATATTCAAATTCAATTTTCTCCCGAAAAAGTTTACGGTAATTACTGATTTTCAAACGAGTTGTGCTCCTGTGGGTTTTAACCAATTTTTCT